GAAGTGGTGTTCATCCGAAACCTCGTCCGTCCCTTCACTTTATTGCAATTGAAAGAAGTTTTGGGCAAAAATGGAAAATTAAATGAATCCCGTTTTTGGATCGATAGAATCAAATCCAAATGTTTTGCCACTTATGACACCGTCGATGAAGCGGTTGCCACTCGTCTGGCACTTCACGGCACTCGTTGGCCAAACTCTAACCCAAAGCTACTGACCGTTGATTTCGCCACAAAAGAAGATTTGGATTTTCATTTGAACGGAGAATTGAAAGTAAATCAAGACATTGTTGTTAAGAAAAACGACGAAAACGTGAACGAAAAGTACGATATTGTGATTAAATCGGATGAAAATCAGACAAATTTGCGCGAAAAGGATGCAAAGGCTGAGAGTCGACCCATAAGAGAGTGGGACAGAGAGAAGTTGATGGGCAAAGAAGATGAAGACAACAGGCGAACGGCCGGCAAACGACGACCCGGGAGTCCGACCCCTAAAGGTGGAAGTCGTGAACGAGATGTTAAACGCCGTAAAAATGGTATAGATTTCTATTGACTCAAGTTTTGTAGTAATAATTAATGATTTGCTGTTTAGATATACGAACTGAAGAACGTGTCCGACCGGCAGACTCGACATCAGGAGAGGCGCCCGCAGCCGAAGCCGCGCCCGAAACAGAATCTCCGGCCAAACTGTTGGACGACTTATTCAAGAAAACGAGTGCAACGCCCAGTATATACTGGTTGCCATTGACTGAAGAACAGGTTGTGGTCAGAGATTCTGCGAGGGCTGAAGAGGACAAGAGAAGACTCGAAGAGAAGAATCAAAGAGAAGAACAGTTTCGTCAAAGACAAGAAGAACGACGACCTTTCGAGCCAACCGTTCCCTTCAGAAATGTAAGCGTTGTTTCAATTAAAGTGTGAATTATTTATTAATTTCCGTTAATTTGATTTCAGGAGAGAAACCAAAGGCGTTGTTTGAGAGGGCGTTACTCTGCGTTGAAACCACCAGCAGCCCCAAGCGGGGGCTTAGCCGCCAGCGGAGGGCCGGCAGTGTTGTCGGGTGGCAAGGCAGTCGCGGCTAGGGGAGGGGCAAAGAGGGCATCACCAGTTATGCGACGAAAACGATAACAACATAACTGAAAATGTGTTCCTCTACTGAATATTCTACTCAAACGATCCCTAAATTCCCGTCTCTTATTGCCTTTGAATGAAAACAACAATTGATGGCTAGTAATCATTGCGCCGATAGTCGAGTGAATCAATACTTCAATAACTTAATGGTAATAATAGTTGTCTACGTTCTCTCTCTCTCTATCCTCTCTTTTTATTTGTCAAATTATTTTTCCGATTGAATGAATGTATGAATTAGTGAATGAATGATTAGTTACTTAATTAAAAAATGAAAGATTAGTGTTAATTGTATGGAAGAATGCGTTGAATGTGTTTGTATTTTGTGTTTGTATGAGAGCTTTAGTGTTAGTGTTTAGTAGAGGAGCATATTTTTTTCTCTTTCAGAATATAAACAAACTCTCCCGCAATGAGACGCAACTTTGGTGGTCGTCGGGGTTCGCCCCCGAATCGGCGGTCGCCTCCCGGCCGTCACAACAGCCCACCGTTCCGTCAGCGCCGATCCCCTCCCCGTTTCTCCCGCTCCCGATCACCAGTTATGCGACGAAAACGATAACAACATAACTGAAAATGTGTTCCTCTACTGAATATTCTACTCAAACGATCCCTAAATTCCCGTCTCTTATTGCCTTTGAATGAAAACAACACAATTGATGGCTAGTAATCATTGCGCCGATAGTCGAGTGAATCAATACTTCAATAACTTAATGGTAATAATAGTTGTCTACGTTCTCTCTCTATCCTCTCTTTTTATTTGTCAAATTATTTTTCCGATTGAATGAATGTATGAATTAGTGAATGAATGATTAGTTACTTAATTAAAAATGAAAGATTAGTGTTAATTGTATGGAAGAATGCGTTGAATGTGTTTGTATTTTGTGTTTGTATGAGAGCTTTAGTGTTAGTGTTTAGTAGAGGAGCATATTTTTTTCTCTTTCAGAATATAACATCAAATCTCAGATATATTTAACATCAGATCCGCAAAAATGTGTGAAATATCGAAATGAATCCAATAATAAGTAATAACTAATAAATGCATTGAAGAATTAAGAGCTAAAGTATTACACAAAACACAAAATAATGGTGTAATTCGTGACTAGAAATTGAAATAATTTGGAATTATTTTCTCGTTTTTTATTTGCAAAACAAAAACACATTTAAATTGACGTTCAATTTAGAGTGACATTAGATTTTCATCTTTTATTTATCAATACAATCGCAATCCAAACGCTTGTCTCAAGAGTTCTCAACCAATATTATTATTTTTTGCACATTTTTTCATTTGACAAAAAAAGCTTAAGTTTTTATAATCGAAAAACAAATTAATTTAATGAATTGTTTTTTCTATATATGACTGTATTATACAGTATTAAGAATGTAACGAAAGCTTAATTGCAGAAAAAACAATATAATAAAACAGATTTTAAACTCTTTAATCCATTGATTGATTTATTGTGACTCAAAACATACGACAAACTCGTGGCAAACAGAGCGCAACCGATGGAGTATTGCTTTCTTCTCAATAAGACATTAGTTTTCGATAAGAATTCTCTTTTTATTCTTTTCAAAGACAATAAAATATTAACAATTGTTCCCAAAATAAACAGTAATTATAATAAGTGGTATAAAATACTTATGATTTATATAAATCGAAAACAATGTTATGTGTATTTTTTTGTTTCGTTTGATAACAACTATTTATGTATAAATAAATTGCAATTAATTTTTATACTAAATTAAAACTCTAATTATAACGACGATTAATATTGTAATATACGAACAGTTATTGGAATTCAAAGAACTCATTGAGAGATAGAGAGGGAGAAAGAGAGGATTGAAAGACGAGAAACCAATTAGAGAATGGAAATAAGAACTGATCGTTAATTCATAAAAATAATAAGACATGCAATTGTTTTTTGTTTAAAAGGCTTTTTAATAGAAAAACATTTCGGAAGCAAAATCATCAGTGCTTTTGGGACTGACTTTTGATTTTTTTGTTTTGTTTTAAATGTTATCAATAATATTATTTAAGAGGAATAATGCAAATAAAATCTATAGATAAAAGTGGCTAATAAAGCAAAGCCGACGGGTATGGCCCACGAGCGCCAATTGCTACCGTCACCTGACGGGGTCGGAGTAGAGCCCCAATGATTCTTCTCCTAATATAATCAGATCAGAGAAATTCAATTAACAATTAAAGTAATTTTAAAACAGTTGTAAACAATAGATAATAAACATTAAATATATAGTAAAGAGTATTTCGTATTTTGATCTCCAATTAGTAAATGGGATACAAAACAGACATTCAAACACAAGTTAGAGTATTAGTTGGCATTAAATTCTCAAATCATTAGTTAAACAGCAAATAGAAAGACAAGTAATGCGGGGAATGGCATGCGTTTAGATATCCAACAGCACTGATATCGAAACAGTATATTAATAATTGGTTTGTTCTCTACCCTAATGTTTTTTGACGCGGTTTTGAGTTTGCATTTTAATGGTCAGAGAATCAAATGAATGAATGAATGACTGTTCAAAGTAGCGCTACATTAAATCGCAGGATTTCTTCTGCCAGAAAGTTAACAACAATTAAACATAATTAACAAACATTTGCTCCTAAAAGCACTCGTTATGCACAATACATGCCAAACAGTATTTTACCTGAATTTTCTTAGTCTTCTTCTTGTCCTCCTATTCAACAACAAAAACAAAAGTATTAATTAATTAATTCATTATTCAAACATCACTTATATTCCAATCAATCAGTTGTTCATTCATTAGTGTCTAACAAATCAAATCAAACACATTATCATATAATTTAATCGACAAAAATTGATAATTTTAATTGAAGATTCTTAAACAATATACAACTAAATAGTGTTTTCTAATGTATTGGTTTCTCAAATCTCGTATTTAACCTAAAAAAACTACTGTATGTGTAAAGAGTGTCCGAATTGATACCAATTTACTTTAAAGGGAATGTTTGCAATATAAGTACAATGCTTACAATTTAGGGGCAATCAATGATCGGGTGCTTTCAGTGCACACAGACATTGCTGTACTATTCAATTCGTAAACAACTATCATATCATTAAAACCATTTCAATGTCACTTAAATGGTGTGCTTTCTATGCATTAAATTCTTGTAAATACTTTATAACATGAGTTTATAAAATGCACTTAAAATCTATCCATACTTTCAGTTCATTTCGAACTCAAAGCACTTTTTGTGTACTAAAATGTTACAAAATGTGGAGAACTTTACACTATGTAAAAAAGATATACTTTTAACTAAACTATAACTATTTTTACACATATTGCGGACTTGTTTTTAAAATTAATTACAAATTTATTATTTATATATAATTTCCTGTATTGTGTATAACTATTTGAACCAAATTCTTAGCCAAAGATCAATTGATTTATGTCTTATCAATATATGATTTATAACTTTTCAATCATTCATTATTTTTCGTCATATAATTTTGAATATTAAAGAGTTAAGTAATAAAAACTCATTTTATAAACACATTCTCATGAGTTATAATAAATTATGTATTTTTTGTAAACGCAATGAAAAATTATTTTGTTAAACAAATAGTAAATTTTAACAATTTTTTGTTGCAATTCATGAAAAATTATTTTTTAACCAAAAGTTTTGAAAATATAAAAACATGTTTAGAGAGAAAAATGCATTTTCAAAGTAAAAGGAAAATAATATTATCGATAGAAAATTTTATTGTCATTCATTTATTTGCAATTCATATATAAACTGCAAAATTTTGATTAAATTACAAAACATTTGGATTTGATTCTATCGATCCAAAAACGGGATTCATTTAATTTTCCATTTTTGCCCAAAACTTCTTTCAATTGCAATAAAGTGAAGGGACGGACGAGGTTTCGGATGAACACCACTTCGGTGGCCGTGTTTTTCGCGGGACTCGACTCTCGCTTCTCGTCCAACTGTTCTTCACTTTTGCGTTCAACCACTTCCGCTACAATAGGCTTCTTATGTTCGACAACGGGTTGGCTAACGGGTGGTTTGACCGACTCTTTAGGGATCTGTTCATCTTCTGGAACAGAAACTGATTTCCTGACAACACGAATGTCTCGTTTTGCGGGCATTTCATTGGTTGCAGCGGTTGTTTGAGTTCGAGAGAGACTACTCGTAACAACAATACTTGTATCGGATTTACTCACCTTTGATGCGCTGTCGGCACCCGAAGTGGCACTCATTGAGTCCAAATCTGAGATCATTTCCTTGATTTGATCACTTGATATACCTTTTGGTGTGTTTTGTTGCGTCTCATTAGTGACGGCTCCGCCCCAACGCCTCCTTCGCGGAGGTCTCGCCTTTTCGGGACTTTTTCTTCTTTGATCCGTTTCCGGGACTTTACTCTCCTTTTCGTCTAAACGTTCGGTTTTCTTATCCGTTTGTTTCACAATCGGCTCAACGACTGACGACTCTTTAATAGAACTCACAGCTGGTGTTTCTTTGACAGGACTTACAGTTCGTGTCTCTTTAATAGGACTCACGACTGGCGTCTCTTTGACAGGACTTACACTTCGTCTCTCTTTGACAGGACTTCTATTTCGTGTCTCTTTGATAGGACTCACAACTCGAGTCTCTTTAACAGGACTCACAGTTCGTCTCTCTTTAACAGGATTAACGACTGGCGTTTCTTTTATAGTGCTATCACTACTGGTGTCCTTAGAAATGGCAGAATTATCTTCTGGTAATTCTTGTGATTTAGTCACTAATTCTGTAGATTTTTGTGTTGAATCCGTGGAATCATTTGGTGATGAATTCTTAGTTCGAGATGAGTCCGCATCTTTCCCTTGATGAGAGGGTTTCACGATTTCTTCGATGATTTGTTTGGGTTTTTCTGATGAGACGATGTCTTGTTGTGCTAACACTTCGGAGACGACTGCGGGAGCCGTTTGTTCGCGCACTTCAGCGAATGGCACCGATTTGGGCTCCACTGGAGCCGGTATTTCAGTGACAACTTCTGGTAAAACTTGTTTAATCACTTCCGGAGTTTGTTTCGGCGACTTTATATGCGAGTCCATCGCCGGAGACTTCACGGGAGATCTGACCGGAGATCTAACCGCATCGCTGACAGCATTGAAAGAGTCAACGCCTGGAGACCTCATCTCTTTGACCGGCGACTTCTTGGGACTCAACTGTCTGTTTGGGCTCTCATTTGGCTGTAATTTAATGGTTAATTTGATTGAATGCTTGTCACCGAAAGAGACCGATGATGTGATGCCCGCGTCTTGACTCAAATCCGTCGCTTCCGTCTGTTGTGGACATAAATTCTGTTCATTATTGATGTCATCACTCTTTGGGATGTCATTCGCGCCACCAATCGATTCATTGGTTTCCTCCGATTGTATGGTGTCTTCGCTGGACTTCTCTTCGTTCGCTTCATTCAAATACTGGAAAACAATTGACAAATAGTTTAATACAAGTTATAAATCAATTGAAAACATAAGACAAAGAGTGGTAAAAACGTGGGCCGAAAAGAGCGGCACCGAAGGGGCGGAAGAGTGTCAGCAAATACCTGAATGACGAGAGCCTGGAGTTGGGCTTTGGTTGCATTCTTCTTGTAGGGGACGTCCCGTTTGGTGAGCACTTCCTTCAAGTCGATCACACGAAGAGAATACAGAGATTTGCCATCAATTAAGTAATCGTTTTCAAAGTCCGCCATCTTTTCTGTTGATATCAGTCAATGCGAGACACAATTGACACCACTTTTGCCACATTTATTACGTCCACTCATTTCAATGCATTTCAATGGATGTGTCAATACATGTCAACACAGTTTGCCTTTAATACCGATTCTTGTATTTGAAGTTTTTTTTTGATTAATACTCGTGTAATGTATTCATGAATTGATTGATGTTTAATAAACCGTTTAATTAAGTGATAAATTAAGCAAAAAGTAGTGAAAGTGAACGTAATTAGTGTTGAATGGATGAGAGAGTGAGAGTGAGAGAGAGAGAGTGAGCATTGGATGCATTGAATGGTTGTATTGAATGGCAATCGCTGTGTAAGCCGTGTATTGAATGCAATGTCTGTACGATTGGTGCGAATCAGTGCTAAACAGAGCTAACATTGAGGCGAATGAATACAGTATTGAATGTATGGCTGAATGTATTCATGCCTTCACTGAACACAAACACAAACACAGATTAACACCGATTTTGGCCACTATTTCATCACTTGTTTGCCATTGATTTGAGTTTTACAATAAAGTGGTCATCAAATCGACGGACGACTCAATAAGAAGAGCTGATCCGCCAAAGAGACACGTTTAGTGACAGACAAGTGAAGAGAAAAGATTGATTTTGTGGACAATTAGCTAATACTTTAATAATTAATAATAACTAAAATTGGTTTTAATAATCAGTAGTAATAATGTTATGCAAAGAAGAAGTGTTCAATTGGTTCAAAGATCAGTCGGGAGCCAAACGTATTGAGTTAATGTGTGGACTCATGTCAATGTGTATACCACTGGAGATCCGTTTCTTTGAGTCCATAATCAAAGAGTTGGCCAAAAAAGACATGAATGCCTTACGGGAGGCGGAAATTAAGGCCAATTCGTACCAAGAGTTGGACAATATATGCAAATGCGATCTCTTGGCCGACACTCATGTGGTGATTGAATCCAATGATCTGAAGACCAGTGCAACCAATTGCGAGGTTCAGTCAAACGCCATTCAGAGTAAGCACTCGATCGCCAATACGATGCCATCGCATCCAACCACTCAAATGTTGCCACAAATACAAGACATGCAATCCGTGGCACCGAATGGCACAACAATGATGGCCTCCAACGATATGATGGGTTTAGTGCCGCCGCCAACGCCTTCTCCTCCCAACAGTTCCAGTCATTTGTCACAACTCTCGTCGCGATCTAAACTCGTGGTCTCGTTATGTCTGTTGTCGACCACAAACAGAAACTGTTCGACAATCGCTTTCAAAGCTCTTCGACAACAGTTGACGGCCCAACAGATCGGCGCCGCAATCGGCCGATGGCTTCAGTACAGGAAGAATGTGATGGAGTTGGACGACGTGTTCTCCGGCCTCCTGTTGCTGCTGACGATGGCTGTCCACTCGCCGGCCTTCAGCTTCGATCAAAGGGAACTCCTCATCAAACAGAAGGAAGACGTGGAGCACACGATCGACTCTTTGAAATTCATACCAAACGCCAACTACTCTTCACAACCGTTCCCGGCGTACGTCCACTCGGCTCCACATCCCGGACACGCGCCCACACATATTCACCCACACATCGGTCCACAACACCCACAACAGGCTCACACACCGCCGGCTGGTGTGGCTCCGGGAGGGCCGCCACTGCCTCACAGCCACAGTCACGCCGGTGTCGGCCATCAGAGTTCGCAATACCCGACCCATCAGTACATTGCGAGCCATTCGGTGACGAACTTAAGCTATCCGTCGGCACCGCTTCCCAATATGACTAATCTTCGGATCACGAATATGCCGGTCGTGTCGGTGTCGACGTCCCCCACGAGCTCTCCATCAACTAAATCGTCGGTCACATCAGTGGCCGCCATATCTCCTCTGCCGATGAGCGCGGAGTACGTGAGCCACGGGTTGAGTGAATCGGTGCCAAACCAGACTCAATATGTCATACCATCTCAACCACAACACCAAACACTTAATGATGACATTAGTTGTGCCAAAAGTATAGTGTCGTGTTATAATTGCGGATCAATTGGTCACAGAGGGGACGAGTGTAACAGTCATGCCCAGGAAGAAGCCAATAGATAATAATGAAAATGCTTTTAGTTTTATTAAACAATTTTTACATTTTATGTAAATAGGAATTATATAATGTCAGACATACTGTACGGACACACCGTATATTATGGCGTGATTTGTAAATTGATTTGAATGTAACATCAAATGAGACACAAATGTCTCCCTTTTTGTCATTCACTGATAATATGATATAACATGTAATGATTGATTGCATCTTACGATTGATTTGAAAACAATTTAAACAATAAGAGGTGAACATAGGATTATTATAAGCCATTGAAATACTGAATACTCTTCACTTGATATTTGAAATCGCCTTTAATTTATATGAAATAACTTATAATATATGAATGCTATTAGTGTTGAATCGGTTTTAACAGAAAATACTTGTATAGAAATGATTTAACTATCTGTTGACCGCTTTCAACACATTTGTATCACACATTGTAATACATGTTTGGTTTTTCACCATTAAATAACATTTTAATTGTATTCTTAATAACAGAGTTGTTTTTGTCAATCCAAATACACCACTCTTTTTAATGCCATTCCTTTTAATAGTTATAATTTGTCTTAAATTATAAATCAAATATGCATTCAATAACAAACATACAAACAATTGAGTAGAAGACAGTCCACCACTGCCTCCGCACTCAACCACTCATTTCTAATGCAACTCTAATCAGAAAAATTATTATCATTACAAAAATGTATGGAAAAGGAGTGAGAGATTTAGACAATTGTTTTAAACAAAAAAATGCTTTTTATTGTAATTAATTGTAATCTATGAAAGCAATTGAAATATATAGCGATCTTTGCCCCAAAAGTATTGATCGGATTTTATGATTAAATAACAAATTGTTTTATTGTATACAAAAAAAGAGAGAATTCTTTATTAACAAAATCATTACTTAAAGTTTGTTTGACTTTTTCTTCCGATTACCGGTCGGTCTTCGAGTAACGTTTGGATTAACCGTTCGGCGAATGTTTGCGTTAATCCGAGAGCTTCTGCTGTAGACATCGTTAATAGCAAACGGATTCAAACGATTCACATATTCGGGATCTGTTAGGATGTTCTCGCAGTTGTGTCCCCTCTTCTCCTCGACGGCAAACTTGGTTTTGCGATTTTGCGGTTGTGTCTGATCCGCCACAAGAACCGGATTATTGGTGTGCTTTCCGCCTCTCGGAGTGGGCAATGAATAACGAGTGCCTCTAATGTTAATCGGTTTCTTAAAGTTGATGTATATTTCTTTAGTTCCGTCCTCTTTCACAGTCAGAGCGACCCGTTTTAAAGTCCTATAATTTCCACAATTATTACAGAAAGCATTGTTTGATTTTGTGGTGATCTTAAAACACGCGAAACATCTCAACACAAACTGTTTTGTGGATCTAATCCGCAGTCATCTTTATTAACAAAATCATTACTTAAAGTTTGTTTGACTTTTTCTTCCGATTACCGGTCGGTCTTCGAGTAACGTTTGGATTAACCGTTCGGCGAATGTTTGCGTTAATCCGAGAGCTTCTGCTGTAAACATCGTTAATAGCAAACGGATTCAAACGATTCACATATTCGGGATCTGTTAGGATGTTCTCGCAGTTGTGTCCCCTCTTCTCCTCGACGGCAAACTTGGTTTTGCGATTTTGTGGTTGTGTCTGATCCGCCACAAGAACAGGATTATTGGTGTGCTTTCCGCCTCTCGGAGTGGGCAGTGAATAACGAGTGCCTCTAATATTAATCGGTTTCTTAAAGTTGATGTATATTTCTTTAGTTCCGTCCTCTTTGACAGTGAGAGCGACCCGTTTTAAAGTCCTATAATTTCCACAATTATTACAGAAAGCATTGTTTGATTTTGTGGTGATCTTAAAACACGCGAAACATCTCAACACAAACTGTTTTGTGGATCTAATCCGCAGTCCATCCTTAATGCCAATCACTTTCAATCCCATCTGCAATAACACGTTTTGCATCGCATAGTCTCCCGTAAGACATCCAACGGACACTTCTTCCTCCACTTCGTCGTCCACTTTCAGTCCTTGCATTTGTCTTCTAATATCTTTCACATTATTCGGTGTAATCCAACCCTCGTCTTCACCATCACTCCCCTCCTCTTCGTCACCACTATTATTATCTTCGCCATCACTTCCCACCTCTTCTGATACCTCTTTGACAGTATCTTTGGAATTATCTTCCGTTTCGTTGTTGTCTTCATGTTTGTCGACATAGAAGCCAATCAGTGATTGGTTCGAGTCTTCAATAGTCTTCTTCATAACTCGTGCCAATTGTGGTTCACTTCTGATATCAAACAGAGGTAACTGGAGAAAGAGCTCAGAATTACAGTCTCGTTAGTGAAACTATAGTCAACGCCTGTTAACCGTCATTAGCGGTCAGAAAAACCGTTTTGACTACTGTCGGAATTGCAGGAGAAGAGACGGCTCTCTGTATTTGAGTTCATATGAAATGAATTGAAGTCTTTGTCGTGTGTTTTCATCCTTAATCTCATTCACCACTTCAGGCAATGTATACACGTTTTCGGCCAAATCCTGTGTCCATTCAATCAAATCAATTCATTAATACCAATAAAACACATCAAACACTCATTTCTACCTCTATTTGAGTGCCGATAATGAAAGGCCCGGAATCGCAGACCAGATGTGCGCTCTTCTTATGGCGGGTATTGTTATCCATATTATTGTAATTCAATTCAAATGTCATTTAAATAGAGTTTTCAATAAAAACACATTTTTATCAAAACGTGTGGCAAAAGAGTCTATACTTTAATAGATGTCGTAATCAATGCATTCAATGCTGTCTTTAGGCTCCCGTGTATTATACATAGACTGACCACATGTCGCGCAACATCTTTATATTTTACTGCTAACAAATCATCTTAAGATTTTAAATATTAGCTTTAAAATTATATCCATAAAGTCACCATGGTACAAATTTTCACAATTAATTAAGATTCCAACATTTAAAAAATAGTTTATGTTAAAATTCAAAATTGTATTAAAAACATTGATTCATTTGGTCACTCTATTCTGCATTGTATTTTGCAATACATTTATTGCCCCCTATTTTGTGCTCATTTCAAACACACGACAATTAGTTACCAAAGAATACACTCAACGCCTAATAAAACTTGTGTTTCAATGTTTAATAATATTTATTATTAATTAAAAATTATTTTAAACTAATTCATACATTAATTCATATAAATTATTAAACATTAATATTGAATACGAGAAACGCATGTCGTGTCAAAAGGGGTTTATTAATACACACGTTGTTTATGAATGAGAGATAGCAATAGTTTACAAAATATACCACAAAACAGTACAATTCATTCATATTTATGTTGTATATTAAGCCCCCGACGGCCCCCATAACAGTGTAAATCAATGGATGTGACCCCACATTATTGCACTCAACCCCATGTTTTATAACGTTATTTATGTACAAAAAGCATATTTTTCTGACGATTTCAATGATTAAAGTGAATGATTTTCATTGAGAAATAGGCGTTCAGTTGTGTTACGATTGCATTGAATTGAGAGTGAATTCAATGAATGAGTGATTATTTTGTGAATAAATTTTTATTATTGATA